TTATATTTTTCATATTTATATAATCATTCAGAAATTACTTTAGAGTGACTCTTTGATTAATTCTTGCTGTTTATTTTTTTACTGGCTATTCTTTCATTACAGCCTGCAGTTTTGCTCGGTTTCGAGCAACAGGTTATCTAGTTAGCGATAAATGCTCGATACCTACATGTTATTGTTTACAATCGAAGTTTACAACTGTGTATACAACAGCTGACTTATTCGCCCTGGGAGTAAAAGAGCTACAAATTTAGACCCGCAACGTGTGTATTAGAAACTGCTGTTTTTGCTGCAGTATGACGAAAAATCAAATTGTTGTTCATTTTAGTGGGTGTTAGTAATTGTTAGATTATAGGATGAACAGGATGGGACTACGTATTTAAACTGGAACTAATCAAATCACTTTAGACACTTATTTCTTTCTTGTTTTCAACACAGTGTACATACGGTCATAAAAAGTAAGCCTTTTTCACTCCAGTCAAAACAAAGCCTTTTGAGAGTGGGGGTGACAGAATGATCGGGGAGGGGTGGGAGTGAGAGAGAAGGAAGTCGAGTCCAGCTCCAGCGGAAGTCAGCAACGGAACAGGACGTGGGAGGCGCGGATACTCCATTAACGTCCTCTCAAAAATTAGCGCAATCATCGCCATGTAAAAATAATTAGTGCTTCGAGGCCTTTGACCGGCAGGAATAATGGGGTTAAGAGAGGGATTTGTTGAATGGATTTCTGGTTTGAAGTGGAGGGTTCGTTAGACCCTTTCTTGGATTACGTAAATGAGTTAGACAATGTAAAATTGTACATTCCACCACTACTTTAATAACAAGTTATAAAAGTAGTAATTATTTGGAATATGATGGAAAATAGTTCTTTTATGATAAGGTTAGTTGAAATTGGTGAATGAGCAGTTATAAGATAACTTGAAATCTTTGGCTAACAAAATGCGCACAACTGCAGTTGTTTATATGTTAAATGTAAAGGAAGTTAGTCTAAAAGATCATAATTTAACCTTAAAATATTTTTCAGATTAAGACACATTTATACGATACTTATCATTAAAAAAACTACTTACGCAAAAAATAACGTTTTATACAGTTTTATACTGCTTCTTTCTTAATGTATTTTGTGGTATTATTTGTATGTCTTTCATTTTCAGTTTAAACTTAATGACAGAGTAGCCTTGTGCATGGATACACGTACGTACTTTGGTTCTTTAGACAGTAACGGCAGGATAATAATTTCCCATTTTCATATCGAGTATATATGTTGTTGAATTTCTTTGAAGTATCAAACATGCAAATAGTTTATTGGGCTAACCAAAAGTGGCTTTCTCTCCTAAATCGAATCCAACATCGAACAGGAGACGATAACAGAACCGTCGATAAAGCTTGTACAAAGTGTCCTGGAATTTATTACAGTATCATGTGACAGGGCGGCGTAGATTAAAGAGGGAGAGTTTGTAACCCTGTCACACGCTCAAGATGAAATCAGTTGGTACGCCTGACACGCTCAAGAAGGCAACAGCTGGTCGAAGATGGACGCCTTCACATTGATTAGACGACCAAGACGCCTATGCTAATTCGCCATCTTACCCCTTTATGGCCCATAAAGACGGGTTGTTACTTAAGTGGCTCTGTCGCGTGGTTTTTACGCTTTAAATGACCCCTTGAGGAATTTTGAGGGGTGACTCTTTTAAATAGAGTGTCAAGTTGTACAAAACCAGTTTGACCTTTTTTACTCACTGTTTGTTTAATTTTCAAGATTGGTCAGTGATACTAGTTATAAAATAAAGTCGTTCTTCTTTTTTAATGTGAATAAAAACATTTTATAGAAATTTTCTTGAAAAATCTATTTACTCTAGAGTGTTTGTTAAAAATAAATAGTGCCATGACCTCTTTACCTCGCACTTCCTCAAGTGAATTAAACATCTAAACCCCAACTGTAATAATTATCATCAGCTGTTACAACCATAATCAGCTGTAGAGTTCACAGAGGAACAATAAACACAGAGTAAGTGAAAACAAGGGGTTGTGACACGCTCGACAAAAGGACACAATATTTAAGATGATAACGCCGCCGCGCCCAATTTGTAGATTCGCGCCGTTTTATCTGCCGCTATTAATTCCCCCGCAAACAAAGCCGTTCCCGCCATAAACGCAGCAATCGCGTCGCTTTATAATTTCTCGGTTTCCTTAATTTTTATGAGTTGACAGTTTTTCGCCGGGGGAGAGGGTCTTTCATCATTTTTGATCAGAGGATATAGATTCTCGCGTCATTGAACAGCTGGGTCCCAGCTTGATTTGGCGCCTTTTTATTAAAATTTTAATTTAGGTCGTGTTTAATTGCTCTTTTCGTTTACGAAAGGTGGGTCGACTTGTTAATTAAAAATTCTTTGTAATTGCTGGTAACTTAACAAAGTTAATTGTATCTTTTAGATTTTATTTGAGATATTTTTAAAACGGTTTGATTATTATATAAGTGAATTTAATAAGTCAAAAGGACTAAAGTTGGTTTTATTGCTTTATTGTTTAGTTCGGTACAAAAATAGAATTTAAAAGTACTATTATTAGCCTACTGTGCCTTGTTTTTATTATTTATATATATATATATCCAGGTAGTCTCGGATATTACTGATCAGCAGCCGATCCACGTCACCACTCACCAGTGACGTCATATACCTAATGACATCACGTTCTCTCCCTCTCCCTGGACCTTTGATTTGCTCTTACAAACTTTTAATAATGTTCATCCCTCACCAGCCCCGACTGAGCTGCTGTGCGCTTACTGGTTTCGTCCATAAAATTCAACTTCAATACATATTTAAAATGTGTCTCTATTAAATACTATTAAAGCTTTCGTATAATGTATTTCAAGGGTAAACAGTATTTTGAATTGTCAACTTGAATTATTAATAAGTAGTCAAAATCGTGATTTCAATATTTTAAAAACTCATCATTAATTTAAGTATGATTTAGGATGTTATAAACATCAGCAGTTAACATTATCAATTAAAAGTTATATTTTGAATTAGTTGCACAAAGGAAACAGAAAATTTTGCCTATAATTTACCTAGACCTATTTGAAAAGTATTGATGAGTAAAGTTTTCGATTTTTAGTTAGATCACGCTGTTTTGACTTGGCATACCCACTTACTTGCTAAATTTTAGGACTATATTTCACTACCTTATAGATTAAGTTTTCCTTCTGAAACAATCAACGTAACCTCGAAATTGAAGGTGTTGCCGAAACAAATGAAAAACCTGATGAATCACTGACGCAGACGAGTTCGAAGGGTTGGTTTGGTAAGCACTGTCATTTGTCTAGCATTCACTTTGTTGAGCTCGAAGCCGTTTCGGCGTTTAGCCGCTAAAATCAGGGCTATCAGTCTTCATTGGCTGGAGCACCTTCCGCTTCCGGAAACCGCGTCCCACCACCAGCGCTGCCAACTTGGCTTCCGGTTATAAATTGATTCCTTAAGCGGCGACGAAGTTTCGAAGGCTATGGCTACTTGATCAATGTTACTGTGGAAAATGCAATATTGATAATATTAGTATAATAACAAATTTTACTAGGAGGACCTGTGCGATTTCGTTCAAAATAAGCTTTCTTCTAGTACAGCATGAATAAATTAGTTCATTGCTGAAATTCACTGCTCTCGGATAGGATTAGATTTATACTCTTGTATAAAACTGCTTGCTGCATTGGAGTATTTAGAAGTGAAATTCTCTTTTACATATGGTACCCGCAGATTCCTTGCTAGATCATCTCCCACCACCACGGCAACATTGCGATCAACATTGCAGCATTACGCAGTATCTTAAAATGAGTTTTATCCCTTATTTATGAACCGATTTCCTTCAATTTGTACATTGTTAGAATTGTAATCCAATTGTCTAAATAAAACATTGCCACAACATTTTGGTTTACCTATGTAGTTTTTAGGTTAAGTTTAAAATCTTAAATTGCGCCATTTTGAACCTGAACATTATGGCTGTTCAGAAGGATTTTATAACGATACAAAATTTCTTGGTTTAATAATTGATAAAAATCTAACCTGGGACAAACATGTTGATCATGTTATCACAAAAATGTCTTCAGGAGTAGCTGCTTTAAGACAACTGTATAAAGTTTGCAGCTTAAAAACATTAATATCAATATATTATGCCTTAGTCCATTCTAATTTAGCTTACGGAATCAGTATATATGGAGCAACTACATCAAAAAACTTAAAACGGATTTTATCGTACCAGAAAAGGGCAATTAGGGCCATGTTTAATTTGAAAAGGAAAGTTTCGGTAAAACATAGTTCTTGGAATACTAACTGTTCATGGACTATATATCTTGGAAACTATTATTTATGCGAAAGATATTACAAAAACTCAGGCATCAAACAAAATTAGTCATAATTATAACACTCGTTCTCAATTTCAAATTGATAGACACAATATAGAATTTTATAAAAAGAAAACGAAATTCACAGGAAATAAATTTACGTCTCATCTTCCAAAAGCACTTCTAACTGAAAATGATACAAAAAAGTTTAAAAATTGTCTGAAACAGTATTTGATTAAAATTGCCCCTTATTCTCTTGAAGAGTTTTGGGAGAACAAATAAAATAAATATTCTGTCTTATTTTTAGTTCAATGTAAAACATTTTATTTTGTAAGATCTGAATCTATTCCTGTACAATTGTACTTAAATGAATAAAGGATAATTTGATTTGATTTGATTATAAAAATATAATATTTTTATCTCAAAATATGTTTTTGCATTATAATCTATGTATCAATTTACCACAAAAATCCGCTGACAAAATTAAAATAGCATTTGTGAAATGACAAATTGGCAGCTGTATGGGAAACTTTTGATATTTGGAAATTTTTTACATGATATTTTAGTTTTTCTTTGGTCCAGGAATGATAAATTATAAAGTCAGTAAAGAGTTTGGGCAAAAAGTAAGTTATTTTTTATCCTTGATAAATATTTCTAATGTTTAATTTGTTTTCAGATGGAACCAAATGTCCCACACCTGGATGTCTAGGAGAAGGCCATGTGACTGGACTTTACCCTCACCACAGGAGGTATTTAAATATTTTTAGATTGGAATAGATTAGATTAGTTTTGATGCATATGATGTAGTATACATTTGTACAATATAAGAAATAAGAACATTACTGTGTAGCTTTTGTAATCGTTAGTCTATACTGTGCTGTAGCCCTTTATCCCTTGTAAAATTGGCAGTAGGAACTTAACAGCTTTGGCATGACCAATTTGTTATTAATAATCCATAAAGTATGGGAATATGACATGTACTTACTGCAGACTAGAGCCAATTGTGTGCTGTCAAAGTAAAGTTCAAGGTAGTTTCCACACAATAAATGTGAGTCTCAGTACAGTAGTGAAAAACATATACCTAGTTAAGTTGAATAACACAAACAAGTTACAGTCTTTTAAAGAAATTGCTCATATATTTAAATGTAACAGGCATTAAAAGGTTATACTGAGGCTTGACATTTGCCTTCATAATGAGTAAGTGGTGGGAGAAGGAGAAACATATGAGTATGTTTTATCTATGATATAACTTTTGAACTGTAATTTATACAGCAATGGGGATTGTATCATCTTGTTTGTTATATTAAGGACCATAACATACATAGTTTTTATTTGGAGATATAGCCTGTGGATCGTATTGAACATAATTAAATCTAAGGCTTACCTTACGATCCAATTTATTATATAGAGGAGACCGAGGTTTCTAGTCGATGCTGCTATAGGTCTCGCCACCCTAAGTTGAGGCAGCCCAGACGGACGGGCAGGGTCATTATCGGCCGGTCCCGCCCGACCCTTTATAATCCGATTAGTGACACTTCCGTGAACGCTCTAGTTCCATAATTGTCATTAACAAAGTTAAAAACCGATGTATAAATTTAGTCTTTTACATTAATAACGTCGATTTAACAAACATTTCCGTTTTTGTCCCATCAAAATCGGACAATGTTTACGGTTTTTGGATTTTGGGATCTACACTACTTTGTTTTTTGTTTATAGCTCACAAACCGTAAACATTGTCCGATTTTGATGGGACGAACACGGAAATGTTTGTTAAATCGACGTTATTAATGTAAAAGACTAAATTTATACATCGGTTTTTAACTTTGTTAATGACAATTATGGAACTAGAGCGTTCACGGAAGTGTCACTAATCGGATTATAAAGGGTCGGGCGGGACCGGCCGATAATGACCCTGTCCGTCCGTCTGGGCTGCCTCAACTTAGGGTGGCGAGACCTATAGAAGCGAAAGTCATCACATCCCAACTTCGGAGGTTAGGTTTGATAAAGACGAAGATCATGGCCATGTATCTATGTTGTTTCCATTTATGTCTTTGTAAATATTTATATGTGATCAATGTGTGTGCAAATTATACCAAATCGACAATATCTCAAACAAGAAGTTTAGCTAACCTATGATACAAAGGACTGACGATAACGTTTTTGACGTAGAAACCTAGGTCTCCACTATATAATAAATTGGATCGTAAGGTAAGCCTTAGATTTAATTACATAGTTTTTATCAAAATTGTTTAAAAGCTTCGTTTGAATGTGATTTTCTGTTATTTTGTGGGTTGTGGGAAAATCTCATAAGCTACAATAATTTCTGAAACATACTTTTTCCAGCATGGGGGATGTATTGTTTTGTTTTTAGTTTACTAGCAGAGTACTCGTCCTTCGTACAGGGTTGGTGTATAAGCATAAAATTATTTTATTGCAGTTATACTTGTGCTATGCGTTTACAATGGAAGGGGACATGGCTTAAGAAAATTTTATTCTTTTAATTTACAGTATACTATAGTATAGCAAATCTACCACAACTATAATGTTCTACCACTGCACCTAAACAACAGAAAAAAGTAAAGTTCGCATTGTCTATAACAGCTTTTTGTTGCTGCTTGGTTCAACTTAGCTGCTGTCATTAATTCAAAAAAGTTAATAGTGTTGCATCCTGTTGGTAAACCTTATAACTTTATAATGCTACTAGCTGTACCCGCGGGCTTTGCCCCGTTTAACTTCTTAATTTTCAAGATGAGCTCGTTCGCATGGCTCAATCACGTCCTGGTTGAAGTTCGTTCGCTACGCTCACTCACTTTTACGTTGGAGCTCTTTTGCTGTGCTCACTTGCCTTCAGGTTAGCTCGTTCGCTACGCTAACTCGCCTCCAGGTTGAAGTTCGTTCGCTACACTCACTCACCTTTTGGTTGGAAATTAGCTGTTGTCATAAATGTAAAAGAAATAATAGTGCTGCACCCTGTTGGTAATCCTTGTAACTTTAATGCTATTGAACATCATAGAACAGAACCAACTTGTTTAATTGAAACAGCTGTTAATATTCATTAATTCCATTCAAATATGAGTACTCATAAGGTTAACATGGGAAACTCCAGAGCCACTAGGGGCGGAGCCCGAGAGTCCAATCAGAATAAAAACAGCTTAGTTTTCCTATTTAATGCCTAAAGAATCAGTGTACCAAATTTCAGCCTCCTAGGTAAATGGGAAGTAAGAGAATTAGTGATGGGTGGGTGAGTCAGTCATCAGTCAGTGAGTGAGGGCTTTGCCTTATAGATTAAATAGCAAAAAACCAACCCAACTTGTGTTTTTGAAACAGCTGACTAAATTCCTTAATCCTTTTGAATATGAATACTCATAAGGTTAACATTGGAAACTTGAGAACCACTGGGGCAGAGCCCGAAAGGATTTTTTAGATAAGAATATGTCTAATGGGGAACGTGAGCTATCATCATACCAAATTTCAGCCCATTCCGACCAGTATTTAATGCGTGATTGAACTTCAAACAAACAAATAAACAAAACAAACAAACAAAAAACACACAAACTTTCACATTTATAAAGATAAGGATTATAACATAGGTACTAAATTTTAATCAAAATCACTGAGGCTTTTTTATTGAAGATTTGATTTTTCCATTATTTTTTAGATGTTAATGGGAACATAACAAATCACAATTTCAAAAAATTGAAGAAAAAGGCCTGGATATACCATGGATTAGTACCTATACCAAATTTAATCAAAATAGAATCAAAATTTAAGTTATAACAACTAAAGGGAGGACCCATGCTGCTTAATAAAATTTATGATTTTTGATTGAGTAATAGAGTATCTTGAACTTAACTGATTTAAACGATCAATAGCTCAAATTAAAGCCTATAATTTACTGATTATTTTGAGTCTAAAACATATAAAAACATAAACAAAACTGGAGCTATTGATTTTTAATCATAGAAAACTTTATAAAAACTAATTTTTATTTCGGTTGTTCACCTTGCATTTGTTTGAAACTTGTCCGATTTGTATAACTAATAGCTTAAATGAAAGCCGGTATTATACTGAAGATTCTTACTAGACCAAAATATACAGGATTATATAATTAAAACTGGTGAAATACATCTTAAATTGAAGTAAGAATTAGAAAATAAATCAAATGTTTGTTTTTTGGTTGAGTAATACAGTGGATAAATTTATGTCAATGCTTGATTTGAGATATGTGCGTGCATACCTTCAATTTGAGACCTCAATCATGAAATTTAATCGGGTAGAAGAGCCAAACGAACTCGGAAAAGATAATCCAAATTTTACTCCCGTAAGAAATACATGGGGAGGATATTTCATTTATGTATAATCAGAGTCGGACTGTAGATAAATATATGCCAATGCTTGATGTGTAATCTGTGTGTGCATACCTTCAATTTGAGACCTCAATCATGAAAATGGGTCAGGTAGAAGAGCCAAACAAACTCGAGAAAAATACCAAATTTTTTAAATATCGAAGATTACAATGGAAAATACAGAATCAGCACTGAATCAGCCATGAGTTTAACGATAAGAGCATATTATTATCAAAAACATTACTAAAAATCATACCATACCTATTATTCCAGCCAATAAAAATTGATGACCTACGGTAATATGTTTAACATATTTTTAGTAGAAGGGATGCTCTGTTGTCTATTATTTATGACTTCATATTTTCTCTTAAACATTTGCTAAACGATTTCTCTACTTAAAATTTAACATGAAACTTGAAAGAATATACAATACACTTCTAATAACACTCACTCACTTTTTTCCAATATTTAACAATACTGTAAAATAAAATAAATTCATCATCCCAGTTTTCAAGATTTACCTTACCTATATCATTGCAAGTAAATAGATTTAATAAAAGTAAACCCTTGAGGCATATTTGTGAAACTACTTTTAGCATTTAGGCTACTATTTATAGGTGATACAGGATAGGTTTGTAGTCTAAACAAGTACTGATTATAGGTCTATAGACTATGCCTTTGTCCATTATCTTTGTAGACTATCCCTATCCAGGGTTTATAGCCAATTATTACCTAGGAAAAAACACATTTCTGAACAAATCTTTGTGGAAATTTAATATAACATCTTAAAAAGTGTATAATCGTGAGTGTTTCTAATTTTAAAGCTCGTGAATTTTCCTTAGATAGAGATTGCTGTATAATGTCAATAATTCATGTACATTTTTTCCTTACTTACTGTCTGGAACAGCTGTTGTATACATACCTATTGTTAACTTTTTTATATTCAATTCTAAAAAGTTTCAATTCAGAGATAAAACTAGTGGAACCCCGTCGAAATCGACGGTTAAACTTGAGGTTTTATGCAAATTTAGCTAATTGCGATAGATACAGTGAAGTCATTAAAATCTTAGTTAAATGAAGGGAAGATAAGCAATAATAAGCATGACGATTGGGTTCCCTAAAAAACGTGATTGATGAATTCGTTTAACACAATATTTCCTACCTTTTTATCGGCTTTAGGTTGCCCAAAAGGTTTTTTATGAGTCTTATAATTGTTTGTTCATGAGTTTGTTTCATGTCAAAGCCACTTTCACTATATGGGAGAAGGAGTTCATATAATTAGTCTATCATGTTACGGAAAGAGTCAATATTACTAACAACTAATTCAATCTGCTTTAGGAAAATCATTCAAATTGTTTCCGGATTTATAAGTAAATCTTCATCTTGGTCATAAAAATACAGAATTTTATCAGCATATTAAATTAGTTTTTTTTTATTTAATAAAAATATCTGATTCTCTAGAAAGCAGTAACATTCTTACTTCGATCCAAGCAATTTTAATTCCTTCTCTTGCCACATCGACCCATGTATTTAATCATCCTGTTCTTACTTGATAATTCGTTAACTTGGGGTAGTTTTGCCTTGGCCATATTGATCACATAAAGCTATGCATGTATTTCGTGGATGGAATGAACCATAATTGTAGGAAATTTGATCACAAATCTTGAACATTTGCGGAACCAAATGCATAACCTAGTCCAGCCTTGGTAACAAATTATGCAAATGCGATGAGATGTGATGACACTGTTGTGTTTCCGAATGTTTTGTATGTAGTGAGGTTTAGATGCGTTGTTCGACCTAGCTACATGTGTACATCAAAAAAGTAAAAACCCTGTACAAATTTATTTTAATACCTGAATTGGCATTAGTTCAACTACTTCACCAAAACCATAGATGAAACATACTCCATAGTTAGTCTATTTCAAAACTTGAACACAGCTCTCATCCTCAACGTACTCATCTATGACACAATTTTCATCCCAATTATCGAAAACTTTTATACCGATAAATGAATTTCTGGTGTACTTTCTTGAATTAAATGGTGATTGAAAGTTGGCAAAAAAGGCAAGTGCCAACCATACAATATATATAAGCTAACCCGATAAGGAATAATTATCTATTCCTTCGAAATTGATATGTCACACTTATTTCATAATTTAAAATTTTCTAAGAGCAATAAAGCATAGATTTTTGAACAAAACATTTAAAATGTATAGTAAATTCATAATTTGTTGAAACTATAAAAAAACTTGCCATGTAGTGGAGAATCTATTTCAAATCATAAATAACTAGGATTGCTTTCAGAGCGGTGAAAGCCAGTTGAGCGGAGAAAACTTGTTTTAATATTTGTGTAACTAACTAAATAAAAAAAACAATATACTAATGCTTGTTTTATTGATTAAAATTATAATAATTTACCTCTTGACTACATCTTGTTGTGATTCAGATAGGCTACCTCTTGCAAAAGTAGATTAAATTATAAAGAACGAGATTTTCTTGTTTATTAAAATCATAGGAATGGTTTAAAAACGTTTAAAAGAAAAGTATAGAAAGTTCAGAAAGTTCAGAAATACCTTATGATTCTCTTGTTTACATTTTTCTTGTAAACAAAAAAACTGTCATAACTACTTTAGTCCCATAAGCCTAATGTTAAAAATTTTAAATTTTAAGTTCGTTTTAAATTGCATTAGCATTATTTAATTAAAATTTGTTTGTTTACAAACCATCTCATTATTAGTCTAAGTAGTCTTGTTAAGTTTGGCTGAAATGTGTTCAGCCGTTATTTGAGTGATGGTTTTATATTGTTTGCATTGAAGTTGATCCCAAAGAGCTTAACCAACTATTCCATTTCAAAAGATAAAAATTATATGGTGCAACACAAATAAACAACTGATCACCTACCTATAACCTACACTTTACCTTCCTATTCTAACCTTACTTCAAAACACTTAATGTAGTCACGAATACTCATAAACCCCGACCTACCTCCCCACATGCCTAAATTAGATCAGTGTTCAATCTGCGTTTTATCAATCAGTGCAATAACTTACTGTACCGTCGATGTAATTCAACATAATATAACCATAGATAAAACATATAACCTATGAGGTATTATCGGATTAAATACCGATTTCGATGCGGTTCGATATATCGCTTATTAAATCCTGATTTCTAACATTGGCTGTTTCTAATCAGCTGTCAACACAAATAGGCTCCCAAGAAAGTAGTCACCGGTCCGTATCCCTCCGCTCCTTGTTTATGCTCCGCGCATTGAGAAAGTAGTTCCGTATATTTTCTCGATTTTCAGTGAATTCCGCGCCTTAAAAAATGTTTTAACGGCATTTTCTCGTTTATTAAAATCATAGGAATGGTTTAAAAACGTTTAAAAGAAAAGTATAGAAAGTTCAGAAATACCTTATGATTCTCTTGTTTACATTTTACTTGTAAACAAAAAAACTGTCATAACTACTTTAGTCCCATAAGCCTAATGTTAAAAATTTGAAATTTTAAGTTCGTTTTAAATTGCATTAGCATTATCTAATTGAAATTTGTTTGTTTACAAACCATCTTATTATTAGTCTAAGTAGTCTTGTTAAGTTTGGGTGAAATGTGTTCAGCCGTTATTGAGTGATGGTGTTATATTGTTTGCATTGAAGTTGATCCCAAAGAGCTTCGCTCGCTTCGCTCGCTCCGCTCAATAATGTAAACATTTGATTTTGACAGTTCAGTAGACCTTTGAATACAATCTTAATATTAACAGCTGGTTCATTAAAAGTAGTGTAAAATTATCCATATGGTCTTAATGTAAACAAAATTGCAGAGTGAACTTTAAAGGCCTCTGGGGCAGAGCCCCAAGGAAATTTACCTTGTTTCTCTTTTGAGGGCTCACCTACAGACCAATACCTTTCTTTAGACACCCCTACCAAGTTTTTACGCCCAGCCGTTCTCTCAAATTAGCTGTGACAAAAACCCCGTTTTCCTCCATAAGAATAACATGGGATGGGAATTTAAAGGCCACTGGGGCAGAGCCCCGAGGGAATTCACCATGTTTCTCTTTTGATGGCTCATCTACAGACCAAGACCTTTCTTTAGACACCTCTACCGAGTTTCTACGCCCAGCCGTTCTCTCAAAATAGCTGTCACAAAGAAAAACAGTTTCAAATTAATATATAGATTCCACAGTTTTACAATACCACATTCAACTATATGTTCTAATCAACCATCTCAGTTTTTATCCAATCACTTAGAGATACAGCAGTGATGATCTATAAGTACCAATCAGACAATGTTTGTTCCATGCAGCCTCTCAGGATGTCCCAGGAAGGACAAAGTCACACCAGAGAGTGAGTATTATTGTATTGTCCTTCCAGTAGTGCTTTATTCCTGTCCCTTTTCCTTCACAGCGGGTTAGAGAGCTTACCATCACTTTATAGTATCCTATTTCCTCCTCAGTTCAACAAAACCTCTAGATATGTCTCAAGGAATATTCTGACATTTGCAAATTGAAATTTTGTCCCCCGGTCTGGTCTCCGGTCATTTCCTTCTTGTACTTCATATTAATCATCAGGAATCACCAAAATCGTAAGTTAGATAGTTATCTCTTTGTTTGTAGTTAGAAGGAGAAGTCGATGACCGAAGATCACAACCGTACTTGCTACTCTCTACCCGCTTCCCTCCGACCAATGCATTGTCTAGGATATTCCTGTGACATACGAAGGTGATTGTTAACTAATGGTTACGCTCTCCCCGCTGTTGTCTAGTCCTGGCGATGCATGAGACCATACTCAAATGCCCAACTCCTGGTTGTAACGGCAGAGGGCACGTTAGCACCAACCGTAACACCCACCGCAGCCTCTCCGGTTGTCCAATAGCTGCCGCAACCAAGCAAGCTCTGCGCCAAAGCAGGGCTAAGCAGAGCACACAACCGATCAGAGGTGAGAATTTGGTGCAGATGGTTTTGTGATTTGCCAACCCCGTTAAAAAAAATTGTATACAAGCTCTAATAACTATTAGGAATATCCCTAAATCATTTTCTAAATATTTGGAACAAAATTTCAAAGATTTGAATGAATAGGTACGGTAATAATGAATAGGAAAAACATTGTTGTCAAATGTATAAATTTAAGATGGGTTCAAACAAGTGATATTTCTGATCACACGGATTTAATTTTCATCCATAAATAAAGGTTTATCTTCTGAATTTTTACCTATTTTCAGTCGCAACCACATGTGCAGCGGATTTCAAGCCACAGCCCTCGTTGTTCACGAGCCCTGCAGCACCTGGGGAGATGAAGCCTCACTACCCTGTTCCCTCCTATCCATCACATGCTCCTTCTCCTTACTTCTCAACTGCTAAACCAACTATCAAACCCACCAAGATCGTAAAGAAAGAGGAACCTGACAACAGCTCTTTTACGGTTGTACCAAAATCAGAATCTTCCAATACCAATAACAATAACAATTGTGCTGTGCCCACCAAAACAGAAATGATAGTAAAGCCAGAGATTCCATCAGGCAACACCTGTAGGTCTAGCAGCCCACCACCACCTCCTCAAGGGTGGGGTAACTCTTACGACTACATGAACCATGATTCCAATTCTTCCTCTGTATCAAGTATGGACGTAATGAGCCATTATCATCAGATACCTCCTCATATGCCAGTAGCTCCTACACCTGTCTCTCATCATATACCTGCCCCACCAGCTTACGTTGCCAAAAACCTTGAAGAATCTCGATCTTCAGTTCAGCACCGTTCTCCTTATGAATCCCCCTCAATAAGTTCTTCTGAAGACGTTTACAGAGACAATCCTACTCGCACTTATCCAATAACTAACACCACTACAATAAACCGTCCGGTTCCCTCCTACTCAACAGAGGTTACTGCTCACACTTACGAAGTAGCAGGACACAGACCGTACGACCCTGGTAGTACCACCAACTACGAACGTTACGATGCCACTCCCCAGCCCTGCCCTCCCACCCCCCGCTACCCCGAATACCAGGAGCATGAGATGAGAGCCTATGACCAACAGCACCACCAGATGTCTGGGATAATGAAGCCTGAACATCCTTCCGAGAGCGAGTCGTCTGAAGGCCCTCTGTATCCCAGGTACCACCTCATCTAATTTTGCACTAACTCTTAACAAACCATATATAACCAGCAAAACACACAAAATGTTGAATGCTTCAAGAGAGTATTAAGAATTATCTGTAGCGACTATTTAGTTACTAGCAACCTGCAATGATTTCCAGTTTCTAATGTGACTCAAGTATTTGTGTTGCAGGCCCATGTACCATTATGATCCAGCGACCGGGCCAGTTCCAGCAGGATTTTCTCCAGCTGCTATTAACCTATCAGTTAAGTGTGTAGCTGGGATGAAGCCTGGAGAACCGAGGTCTCCTGGGGCAGCTTCTGTGATGGACCTTTCTACTTCCAATGTTACATCAACCAGTCCTCAGGTACATCAAGTTACCCTAAACCAGTATGTAAGATATCTTGCTGTCAAAACATGTAGGCTACCTACAACAGGGCCGCCCGAAGGGGGGGGGGGAACCGGGGCAAGCTGCCACGGGCGCCGTGGCTAAGGGGGCGCCGAGCAGCGGCTATTTGTATTAACATAGTATTAAAATATGAGAATACTGGGGGGGAGGGGGCGCCACGACCATGTTTGCTCCGGGCGCCGCCAACCCTAGGGACAGCCCTGCTACAAGCCCACGTAGAAATGTTCAGTTCCTTTAATGCACACATCAAATACTTTTTAATACTTTTCAATGAAATGGCGACCATACAAAGTAGGTATTTTAAGCCAAGTATGAATGGAGATGAGTGTAGTATGAGTGGCGCGATCTTGTAGTCTTATTAGTGACTAAGGCCAACTTATTCCTTAGACGCAGCTGTTAATTAATAGCTCATACAGCTAATGGCAACTAAGGGACCTACAGTTAGTGGAATAGGTGGAATCCAAACCACATTTTTGCCAAACACACTATCATTCATTGTTTTGAGGTATCTGCATAAATGCCCTCAAACAGACTATTGTATTAAAGTATATGAGAATTATTAAATCGGCTGAATTTTTTCATGTAATAATAGAAGGCAATAAGACATCTAACTACAGTTTTAAATAGGGTTTTCTTATTATTGAAGCTTATTACATTGATTGATTGATGTTTTCAGGCTCCTTATGGCTCCAGCCCAGGACAGTACCCCAGGGGTAGCCCGAATGCCACCAATAGTCCACACCCTAACAGCAGTCCTCAAGCTACAAGTCCTCAGCAACAAACACTGGACCTTAGTGTTACAAGGTGAGTTGACTCCTTCCCTTACAGAAATGTAACTCTCTACCTACCAATGGCATTAGTAAAATTTTCAGAGTTAAAATAATCTTAGTGATTGAAAATTTGGGAGTTGGAACTGAATAAGGCTGCAGTAAACACTGACAACAAATAACAGAGGAGAAACAGGTTCCTTTTTTTATCCTCATCACTACACCATTGTGGATAATTATACTTGTTCAATTTTTTGTGGTCTCAAAGATGTGAATATCTCCTAACTGAAGTTTGACCACTTGTAATAGTTCTCCATAATTATGGCCACTTTTATGTTCAATAATTGAATTACCATAATTTAAGGATTTTTTATATATGATGTAAAAATTTGATTTTAAATAAAGTGATAAAAGGTCAGCCCATCTGTGCCATTTGCCCATTTAGTGAAAGTTCATTAAACAATCCTCATAAAATTTCGATGTCTGGTCAATCATAATTACCTTATGTTATTCTTCACATTTCTTTAATTTGCCTTTCCTAAAATTCCCATTACATTCTTTGCCTTTTCTTCCACCCAAAATCATGAAAATTTGTATTATTGAAATACAGTATCCATAGTAAGTATATAAACCCCAACAATTTGTTTTGGTTTCTTTGATTACTACGTAATTTATTGATATGAGTAATTAACTGATATGAGTAAGGAAAGCACCTTACTGTCTTCATTTTAAATTGCATTTTTACAATTTCACCTTATATTTATCAGTACCGTATGTAAGTGTAGTTTTGTATGTTTGATAACCACACATGTTTCCCCGGAGTTCTTTATATATTGACTTTGTTGTGCTGAAGTGATGACGTGTAAGTATTCTTGTATTTTATAGCTTATGTAACACTGTTGGCATTACTTAAGAATCAAAAGAAAAAGTTTAAGGATTTTTAGCAACATCCATTGATTTTATGATAAATGAAGACATAATGATGAGGTGCATTATCATATTTTGATGTATTTCTTATTTTGTATTAGTGTCATATACTTTTCTGACAAGTTAGTGTGTACTTTTAGCATTTCTGATTCTGACTTTACTGTATATACTTAAATTGTTATAGGTACTCTATGTTCCTTGAAGCATTCAACATTTTTACTAGGCTAAATGTTTTACAATTACAAAATTATTTTCTGGAAAATGTATAAAAACTATCTCTTGACTGATGCTGGCAGTCAAAATGGAGTAGTTTTATACAAAGCCTAATAAATTAAAATTAGCTATGTCATTTATGATACACAAATTGACATTTAAAAAAGTGTTTTAAACGTACAATAAATTGTTTCCTTAAAAATTCTGTATCCTACTTATTTATAAGTTAAATTAGTAGTTTATTTCTCATACCTTCTTCTGTACATTATGATTTTTACATTGTTGGCTAAATTAGTTTTGATGTTGGGTTTTCTGGCAACAGAATGAAAAGAATTTGAGTGAAGTACAATATTGTAGTTATATATTATGCTATAAAGCTGTAATCATATTACATTGTTTCCGGTTATTTGAACTATTTTCCTAATTTTCTGATTAGACAAGCAGCTTGCTCCTGTCTGTTTAGGGTTCCTGGACGTCCGGTTTTCCCAGGAGGTCCTGCAGGATACAGTCGGGAGTCTACTCCAGACACGGGAGGAACTCATTACATCGACTCTTACCGGGATGTCAATGGTAAGCAGCAGCTGATTTCCTTTCTGTCTCAATACAAATAGTACAGTATACTTATTTTTTCTGTATTCAGTTCTTCAAAAAAATGTAACTCTTTATTGGATGCACTGATTTTGAAATGCCCCCGGCTGAATGCGGAGATTGCTGTACTTCTATGTTTGGGAAAATAAACACCTGTTTTATGTGATTTATTCTAAGAACCAGGGGACAGAGCCATGCAGTTTTTTTCTGACAGGCTCGGTATAGTTTATTTTGATTGTATATAAACAATAATATAAAGGAAATTCACATTTATTTAAAAACTAATTTTGGCTTTTATTATTTAAGTTTCAGTGGAATTTCAATTTATGATGATGGAAATTTTAACCTGGCAATCCAATAGATTAATTAGTTTTAATCTCACTCATTTCTTTTTTTGTAAATAAATAAAACAATTTAATGTTAAAAATAAATCAAATAAGTTTTTTTTTGTTTTAGTTCCAACTGTAGGAATTAATCACAGGTAGCATTTAATACGTAGTGTATGTAAGGGGTGTAATTCATTTCTTGGTACTAAACTAAATCTTTCTTTAAGTAAAAGTAAAACTTCAGCATGAGCATACTCTCTAAAATACTCTCGTATGATGGATTTGCTGAAGATAGATATAAGTCAGATTCAAGCGTACATTGTTTACTATAAAGATTATAGTAATACAATTAACTTACTAATTAAACTGAAGAGTGCATACAAATTGTAAAATATACCCTTAAATAAGAGTGAAACATTGAGTTCAGTGAAACATTGACGTCAGTGTACTCAACGTCACCAACACGAAACACAACACCAACATTAGCTCTATTTTCCCCTATATCGATTAATCTTCAGTGTAATCTTTGCTCAATAGTTACAACTGATATTTTTTTCCTTTATAGGCCCACTGTATTTAGTAATTTTCTAAAGCTCACAAAAATGAATAGTATTTTGTAAGGAATAGCACTAAATGGAATTCAAATAAATGAATTTATTAATTTAAGAAATATTTACTGGTATTGAAGGAAAGAAGGTTTAAAAATGTAAAATTCTGCACCTAATAGCAATTTATTGGTAGATATATCAGGGTCTTTAGCAAAAGTTACACTATTGAAATGCTGTGCAATTTTTTAGCAAGTGAGGAGTACACTTCTGGTGGAAGGTTAAAAAATTGTATGGGTGCATAGCTTTGTTGCTAATCTTTTATTATCAGCTGGATTTGATTATTACCCAATTAGCTGTACAGAGTAACTAGCTGTTACCATAGACAAATATAAAACTAGGGTGGTCTGTCGTTACACTTTAGACGCATAAATGAGCGAAGCATTATTTAAAGATTGTCAATGGCTAAAGCAGCTAACAACCTACAATATGTTCCCTTTCAACAGATTCACCGTTTGTTTGCCCGATATTATGTAAGTTCTAAAGAATGACAAACTGGCCATCCTGACCATTTGCTTGTACTTTGTAAATGCGCATAGCGGGATGTACTCGTGCAATCAACATTTGTTCTACAATCGTCAGGTCAGTTAATTCGTTCGGGACACTTGACACATCCATATTATTTAACGCCGTGAATTTAGTTGCATTCGAACGACAACGCGAAGAAATCGGTGATTGGTTTGAAGCTGTTAGTGTTGTTGGCGATGACAGTTAGTGCAAAGTGTAAAATTTTAGTGCATCTAATTCATGTTGGGATTGATTAGCTAACTGCCTATCATTATCAGCTTCTTCTGCCCCTGCTTCCAGGGCCGATTTACCAAATAGGCAAGGTAGGCACGTGCCTAGGGCGCGAGGCAATTGGCTTTTTTGGGGGGCGCCAAAAAATTGGGAAGTAAAATATTTTGTGGTTGTATTTGCATACGATCACGTTAAAACTCTGATAATCCCTCACGGCCGTGTAGACATCATAATAATTGTCTCCCGTGATTGCGGCAAAATTCTGACTATTTTCTGCTGTCGTGTAGACATAATTATCGTCTTCCATGATCGCGGAAATATATGAACATATCCCGCGGTCGTCAGGAGATTATCATCGTCTACCGCGAACGAGGCAACATTCTGATCTTTTCCCGCGGTCTTGTGGACATTATCATCGTCGTGCACAATAGCGGTTAAATTCTGACCACCACTCGCGGCCTTGAGGACATCGTTATATCATCCCCCGCTGCCCCGCGGTCGTGTGGACATAGTAGTTGCCTCCCGCGATTGCGGCAAAATGGTAATCATCACTCGCGGTTTTGTGGAGATCATCATAGTCTTCCGCAAATGAAGCAAAATTCTGATCTTTTCCCGCGATCGTGGGGACACCATCGTCTTGCGCAATCGCGATAAAATTCCCTCGCGGCCGTCAAGGCATCATTATCTTCCGCGCGGTCGTTTGGACTAATCGCCCCCCGCGATTGTGTCCAAATGGTAATCATCTCCCGCGGCCATGTGTAGATCATCGTCTTCCGCGAATGAGGCTAAATTCTGATCTTTCGCACGGTCGTGTGGACATTATCATCGTGTTGCGTGATCGCGGCATAATTCTGATCATCCCTCGTGGCTGTATAGAAGTCATTGTATCTCCCGCAGATATCGAAATCGTCTCCCGCGGTCGTGAAGACATCGTAATCGTCTCCCGAAATCGCGGCCAAATGTCAATAATATGACACAGTCATGTGGAGATCATTTATTTATTTATTTATTCTTTCAACGGTAACACCATTTTTACATTCAAATATACATTAAATAGGATTAAATCGCTTTATAAAATAGCATAGTTATCGTCTTCCGCGATCGGGGCAAAATTCTTGCTGTTTCCCGCGGCCGTGTGTGGACATTGTCATTGTCTTCCGTGATCGTGGCAATATTATGATCATCCCTCGCGGCCGTGTGTAGACATATCTCAGCATGTCTCCCGCGGTCACGGAAACGTCACAGTTGTCATGCGCAATCGCGGTAAATTGAAAATTGCAGGTAGAAATACTAAGTTCACGCATAATTCCCGGTTTAAACAAAACTCACGCATAATTCACGAATTTCCCGACTTTCCCGGTTGGTGGATACCCTGTTATATATAATGCGAAGGGGCGCTACTATTAGTTGTGCCTAGGGCGCTGACAGGGTCAAAAACGGGCCTGCCTGCTTCATCTGGTTCTTCTTGTTCACGACGCCACTCTCTGACTCTCTTACAATATTTGCATTATTGGTGCGACGACCAATATTACGACGTGGCCTTTGAGGCATGCTCAAAACAAATATAGCAAAACTGTTACTTCCATTGATAAACTGTTACATTCCAACTTTAACCTAGGATGAAAGTAAACATTGAAATGTAAACAAAACAGTTACAAACAATTAACATATGTTTATCTTATTTAAATGAAACGAGATAAACCCATATGTCATAAACCCAATATAATTTTTCTTTCAACTTACATTAAAATAACAAGCGAAATTGTGTGACCCGTAAAATAAAATCCAGAAGGAAATTTGCAAATAAGTTTTACCTAAACATTGTGCTCAGTATTCTTTAGCTGTTGGCCAAATTTCATATCAATTGGTCAAGCCGTTACATTCTGATGCTCTTACAAAGAAGTTACAAAGTGAGGGAAAGTGAGCTTCGCTCAATAAATATAGACTGTCAAAGGAAGGTTCCGGCGCCCATCGCTAGGAGTACTGTGTAGTTACGGCGCACACCGCTTCAGGCGAGGAGCGCAGTAGCCGTATGTGAGCAGCAGACGCTGCAGTGATGTGCGCCGTAACTACATGGCAAACCTAGCGGTGGACGCCAGAACTTATGATAACCGCAACACAGCTGACAGTCTATATTTATTCTATTTGTCTATGCTGTTACCCACGGGCTTCACTCCCATTTGACTTCATAAGTATTAATAAAACTATCGATTGGTTAAGTTAGCTGAAATAAACAAAATAGAGTACAGTGTAATATAAACAAATAATCACACCCCAGACAGCACAGGATGTTTTAAAAATATATTTTTTTAATTTTTAAAGTATATTTTAAAAATGCATCCTATTCCACCCCCAATGTATCCTAAAAATATTTTAATAAAATATTTCATTTTCATATTTTAAAAAATTTAAAAATATATTATTAAAAAAATGTTTATAAATATTTTAAATAATAAAGATTTAATATGAAAAGCATAATTATTAGTTGAGTAAATTGATTAGTTAGAATTAAATAGTTCATAAAAACAAATTTTGAAAAAAAAACTAGAACAAAATTTTTTAGCCCAGACCCGGGTCTGGAACCTGGTACCTTCGTCTTGTGAGCCTCTTATCTTACCTCTGAGCTAGCTGTGATTGTTGATAATTAGAGTTTTCAAGTGGTCAAAGAGTAGCCAATAGTTGCAATGTCGCAATACTTGTACTATTTTTTAATATGATTCTGTTTATCTATTTGGGCATCAATTAGTTGAATTGTTTTTATGGGAGTTAGAGAGAAGAGAGGGTACTGGTATTTGAATATAGATTATTTAATTACCATTAGATTAGTAATGTTATTATAATTGATGATCTTATAAGATTAATTAATCTTTCCCCTTAAATTGTTAAACCACCTATTAAAAAATTAGCTCAAATTAGTTAAAGAATATTAATTGAAAAAAATTTACATTTTAGTATAATTGTTATATGTTAAGCAGGTGTTCCCCACTGTATCTAGTATCACAACATCATCTGACTACATTTATTATAGATCCAATTTTCTATAGATCCCAACCATGCCGAACCATTTCCCAATGTTGGGTCAACAATGACAATAATGTGTGCTACTTGGGCGGACATCCAGTAGGCCTATTTTAAAAGTTTACTTTTACAACATAGTCTAAACCTTGTTGTTTAACTGTTTGGGGAAAAAATGTATTATTTTTGGAGTGATCTTAAGACAACTTTAATATAAATGCAATTTTTAGTATAGGCAACTTGAATTATTTTAAAAAAGTCAAGTGAAGTGTTTTAGTCATGGCCTTAAAACAATTATTTAAGGAACAAGAAATTTGCTGTCAAAATATATATTTTAAATGTGTGGGAAATATATTTTACCCAGCTCAATTGAAACAAATTACCACAATATATTTTTAGAACTTAAACAAGCTATTTATAAAATATTTTTACAGTTACAATTCTATAAATATTCATAAAAGCTATATTTTTAGGTGAATAAAATATTTTATAAATATCTTTTACATAAAAAAAATTAATTATTTTGTCTTAATATATATTAAAAATATTTTGTAAATATATATTCAACCGAAAAATAAAAATATTTAAAAATGTATTTTTAAGACCATTAAAAAATCATTTTGAAACTATTATGTTAACATATTATTAAAAAAATAAAAAAAAATATTTTAAAAATAATATTAAAATGTATAAAATATTTTTAGGATGAGGATGTATATTTTAAAAATATTTATAAAATATCCTTGTGCTGTCTGGGACCTGATTTTAATAAGGTAAATTGAAAGAATAACATACAAATAAGTACAGCTGAGGTACTTTTAACATTATGTATATGGAAAGTTTCCTTTAGAAAGTAATTACAACCTTAATTTATGATATAAGGGACAGTTTTGAACAAGTTTCTCCTCACGACAAACATTTTAAGTATATATGGCTTATAAGTATGTGAGTTGTAGTTTTCTCAAAAGTTCATGGGTACTTTGGGATTTATTTATGGATTTCTGAGTTTAGTTAAGTTACGGTATATTATAGTTGCTTTACCCATGCTTCACAAAACGGTGAAGATGCAGAAGAGAATACACTGTGGTTTTTTTAAATCTACTGTGTTCCAATTCCTAATAAACGTTACCTATTTAGATGAATCATGAATCTTGTGAAATTAAAAAAATGATGAAAATGTTCATGTCAAATGTCATGCAAAAAGATGCATTTCCACAATTTGGGTTACTGGACACATAATATAAAACAACTTGGATCAAAAGTTTTGGTTGGTAGACTAATAGTTTTACTTTTAAACCTTTAATTGATTCAGTAACACAGGTACCGTATTTAACTTTTATTTATTTTTTTTGTAAATAAGAGGATGAAATTAATTACAACAATCAGGATATTGATAGCACATTGAGATAGTCAACTTTTTAATACAGATTTCAGAACCTTCATTAATTTATGCAGGTTCCTCTAAAATAAAAAATAAAACATTCAATGAAGATAAAATAGTTTTTTCTGATCAAGATTTTCCCCAGCCTCAATTTGTTTTTTTAATATGAATGCAATTTTTTTATTCCAATACTTGACGAATTGACTTCCAGTTGCTGCCAGTTTTATTCTTGAAATAATTGGAAATTGCTTGTAGTGAGCCCCTTGATCATTTCCAAGAGCTCAATATTGCTGAAAACCAAATTAAAAACAAACACAATTGAGTTTCAATCATCATTAGTTTTTTTATGTATTTTTCCCTCTGAGAATACTAAACATTTATTTTATGAAATTGTTTTTTTTAAATCGTGTTGTTATTAATACTTTTAATTTTACGACCAATTTAGTTAAATTAAACTTAATGCTAAAACAATCACTATTCACAGTGGGCTATAATGTACTAAATAAACGGTATAAGCAATCTGACTCATACTTTTTCCTATAAGCTTGATAACAACCTTTATCATGGGTAAGCGGAAGCGGGGGGAGTATTTATGATATTTTATAGGGGAAAATCATAAAAGTTGCAATAACTTTTGAGCCGTAATTGTTACAGCAATGGGGGTTGCACTATATATACACCGTGTCCCAAAAAGAATGGATCAAATCTGCAGTTTAATATACGTGTTATTGAGGTTCGTAGGAAAGTCAAGTATGGCTTATATTAAAGCTGACATCTTTAAGTTTTTTTTTTAGTATGATTCAACAAAAATCAGCTGTCCATTGTTGTGATCATGCTTGAATTTTCAAAACATAAACAAACAACACAGTTGCATTATGAATGTGCAGTTAAAAGCACAGCGTCTTGAGTGGTTCATTGAGACTAAATCAGTGGTTAAAGTAAAAAGGAGATTTCGAACTGTATACAATGTAAATTCACCATCCAGAAACAGTATGTAGCAATGGTACAGGCAGTTTAAGGATTCTGGAAACATCGGCCAGACGGATGAAACCTTCCCAGTTGGATTGGTCGCGGCGGTCGCATACGGTGGCCTCCTAGATCTCCAGACATTACGCCTTGTGATTTTTTTGTATGAATGGGGATTTGTGAAAGATCAAGTGTATAACTTGCCGATCTCAAACTTAGATTAACTTAAAGCAAAGATAAGGGAAGCCTTTGGAAAATATCCAATGAAATGCGACACAATGTGTGGTCTGAGCTTGAACACCGCCTTGACTTTCTCCGAGCGAACAACGGAGAACATGTTGAGGTTAGGCAGTGAAATCATGTTGGGAAAAACTTAAAATGTTAAGAAATAAAATGTATATAAAGTTAGCTTTTTATCTTTAAGAAAAAAGTGTTCATGTCAGTTTACTTTTGATCCATTCTTTTTGGGACACCCGGTATATATATTCTGGTATTCTTGATTGATCCTGGTCAGTTAAAACATCTAGAAAACTACTGTGATACATTAAACCATCTTATTCCCATTTCTGTATCAACGACACAATTATTTAAACCCTTAAACTTGTTCTATCAAATAATGCACTTACTTAAAAATATTGTTATTCATTGTGACCCTTGGTTGGAAATATAATTGATAAAATGGAAGAATTACCTTATCCAACCACAGTTGCTAGTATGACAACTAGTTTCGTTCCTTAGAACATTGTCAGGTCATTGTATGCAACCACATCTTCAATGTATGTATGTACATTGTGGTATGTCAAAAGATTCTTTAAAAACACTGTCACAATAGTAAAAACTAGTCATGTTGATCAAACTTAAACTTTTTTTTAGTCAGTGACAGTGATAAGAAAGTGCTGGCCAGCCTTTACAGTTTTAACCAGTTTTAACCAGTTTTATCACTTTTTATTCAATTTTAATAGTTTGATCAACATGACTAGTTTTTACTATTGTGATTCTGACAGTGTTTTTAAAGAATCTTTTGACATACCACAATGTACATACATACATTGAAGATGTGGTTGCATACAATGACCTGACGATGTTCTAAGGAACGAAACTAGTTGTCATACTAGCAACTGTGGTTGGATAAGGTAATTCTTCCATTTTAAAAATATTGTCCTGTTGTGTGTGTATATTCTATTAATTTTATTCTATCATCATTAAATACTAAGAAAATGAATGTGATTTTATTTTTTTTTATGTTTAGGCGAATTCTAGAAAGTAATTCTCTCAACCTGATTCCTTAGGTTACACGGGGATGAGCCCCCATCCAGGTTATGCTATGTCTGGATCTGAGTATCCAGCAAACAGCTACACTCCTTACCCACCCTCTGCCTACTCCTGTGGATATCCTGCAGGAAGCTATCCCCCAGGACCCGGATACTCCCCAGCCGCCTGCTATCCCATGGGACCTCCGCAGCATGATAAACTTCCTCCATCATCAAAGAATGATAGGTGAGTTATTCTTAAGACATTTTTACAGTTTCTTTCATAAGTGAAACCCCAAAACAAAAATATGAGCAGTAGCAAAAGATAATAGTGCACATGCACGGGCTTACAGCAGAACATTGGGCTGGCTCAGTTTGGTGAGCACAATTTCCTAGCGTAGGATGATATCGGTTTGTCATATCAAAATCTGTTATGGTCTATTGACTAGACCTACAAGTTTCCATTATATTTTTATGTTTGTAAATACCTACAGTTCTTCTGTTCACCGTGCCTAAGCTTTTGTTTAATAGGGTGTTTACAAAATAATTTTTTTAGTGTTTAGTTTGTGTTTTTAAGTAGTTTTCTCATTTGATATTGTTGTTTATTAATTAATACTCTACTTCCATTAACATTTTTTATATTTAATTTTTATTATTTTTTAAATTACTAACAAAATAATTTTCTTTGTTGAGAAAATGAAATTTTTGCCACACTACTGTTTTAATAGACTTTCCACACTTTAAATCAGTCCGGAAAACAGCTGTTTGCCATGGGGTTTCATTAGACTGTACTGTAATGAATTTTTACTGCACACCAGCTGATTATAATCAGCAATATAGGTCAACGAATCAATAAACAAAAACATAACCTCTTTTAGAACTTATGAGAAGTGATTGTTAAGTCCATTCGGTTATATAAACGGATTTGTAGGCTACAGTTTTTTTATTGTTAGGTTAGTTTAGAGTAGTATAGCTGGTCCAAAATGTGTTTACTATACTCGTATGCTAATCCCATGCGAGACAACCATACTGGTCTGGTAAACACCTATTTTCCGGACCATTAACATTAATATACTATTACGAGTAGGCCTACTTAAACACTACTGAAGAATTTAGATAAAACGCTGAACGATTAAACATATAACTGGAAAGTATAGTTTTTAAACAAACCTTTGGTAATGCAATATTTTTTTTAAACGAATTGATATATTGTAGCGATGTCTTTTTATTTTCCATGACACCCATAACTGCGATCTAGATTATCGCTCTAGATCTGAAAACAGAAACCCTGATTTACTTGAACTCTCTCCAGCATGTGGATGCCCATGTAAATATATGGTGACCGTACCACTGAGCCATATTCCAGAATAGGACAAATAAGACTTTTATATAAAACTAAAATAGTTTGTGGTGATCAAAAGTATCTTTTATACCTAAGTATGAAGCAAAGAATCTGATTGGCTTCATTAGTGGACATGATTTATGTGCTCCAATGGCAATGAGGTCAAGATAAAACTCCCAGATCTCTTATCCAATCAACTCTGTCTAGTTCTAATATTTCATTTCCAAATTGATATTCATGGATGAGAGGAGCCGACCGGGCGTGAGAAAGTAATTCTATATGGCACTTATTGATTTGTAGCTGTAAGCCACCTGTCTATTTGATTGAGATATATTTTAAAACATTGTTTGCAATAAAATTATTGTTAAGTTGCTATTACATTTGCTGTTTACTTTTCTTTCTTCTGATGTTACACTTTTTATCACTATAATAAATCTTCTAAAATACACATTATAGGCCTACAGGGTGCACCAAAATAACCTGACGGGTTTTAAAATTAAATAACTCAAGAACAAAAAATTTTAATGTATTAAATAATTTTATATTGTTCACACTAACACCATTTTCATTTATGAAAAATTATATCACCTAGGTGATGGACCTTCTCCATTGACGCAAGCTTCCCATCTTTTCTACGTTGCAGTCACCTTCCGTATCACCACCTGGGGAATAGTACAGTAATCTCTTGTGTACACTACTTGAGTTTAGGGATGATTCGAGATTTTGAAACAAATACTTTGCTTTTTAAGTAGCCCCACAGCCAACAGTCACACAAAGTTAAGTGTGGACATCGAGCTGACCACGACACATCACCAAACCGTGAGATCACTTTACCGGGAAAGAGTTCACACAAAACTGTCATTGAATCATTGGCTGTGTGACAAGTTTTGCGCCGTCCTTTTGAAACCATACGTGTTGGACATTTCTATCCCTAACATTCCCAGAGTTGTGGAACCATAAAAACCCCATCAGCATTTCCACATAGCGTCCCGAGTTTACCGTGACTATGTTCTTCCTTTATTCCTAAAAAATATGGTCTGATGACTTTGGATGAAGTGATGTTTCATGAATTTTCTTAGGATTTTCAGCAGACCAGTATCTGAAATTTGCCTTTCTGGAATGATAGAAATGAGCTTCATCAGGCATAATCAAAAATTTAAGAGGTAATTTTCAGTAGCCAGCTGCAACAGTCTCTGAAATGTCAAAACTTGTGATTAAAAGCCTCTTTCATTCAATTTCTGTACCATAACAATTTTGTATGGGTGGAAGTTGAGATCTAAATGTAAAATTCTACGTAAAGCAGTTTGAAATTGCCAAGTCCATATATTGTCTACAAGCAGAACAATTTGGACAGGGCCGCAGCTACACATTTTTCCGGGGGGGGGGGGGGCAAGTCTTAAATTTGCCGCCCTTTAACCACACAACTGAGGATTTTTTCTAGGTCCAATGACATTTTATTATCAATCTTTACAAGAGGCAGACAAACTTTTTTTAAGAAAATGGTCCAAAGGTTTGATCATACTTTATATTAGGGTAAGGTGGGGCAAGATAGGGAACTTTAGCATTAATAATTTTTGGAAAGCTTCCTAATTGATTAATAAAAATAATTGATATTGCAACTTAAACTTCAGTGTCCTTATAGAGTATATATAAATATTTTTACTCGTCTAACTTAGAAACTTAAACATAAAAAACCTTTTTTTAGTTTACCAAGTACCCCATCTTGCCCTGCATGAGGGCAAGATGGGGTGAACAGGATGGGGCAAGATGTGGTGCCATTACAAAGTAAGGCAAATAAACAAAATACAAACTTAAAAACATTTGTTTTAATATAAAAAGTACCTATAATGTTGTCAATTAGTGATATCAAGTTTTAACAGAAAACATAAAAATGACTCAGATAAACATACAAATTAGGCCTACTCCAATTTATATTACTACCTTTTTTTGGAACTTCAACTGTTACATAGGCTACCTACATTTGCGATAAGTATCGCTCTGTGGAACTGATTTTTGGATCAAACCGTTCCTGATAACAACATCAGCCATAAAAACTGTTTCTTGAGTCACTTCACTTCGCTACCGGTACTACTAGTAAGAGGAGGGCATAATCCACGGCCGCCTTTAACTCCAGACACGGCCACCTTTAACTTCAGGCCGCGGCCTTGTAGTGTTGGCAACATCGCAAGTGGTGTTGTTTAGGGACAGACGTCCCAAAAGATAACACGACAGACAGGTGACATTATCTCATTAATGCGCACTTTATTGATTTGAATTTAAATTTATGAACATTATTAAAATATTGAAAATAAAACATACAGAATTAATAACCGAAACAACATGAATTAAAAATCAATATCTGTACATTTTAAGGCGAGTCAATATTGTCATAGTCCAGTAACCAATCTTTCGTAAATACACAAATACCATTAGCTGCTTCCAAACAAAACAGCTGTTACAACACCACTTGCGACGCTGCCACTTCGAAGGCCGTGGCCTGGAGTTAAAGGCGGCCATGCTCCAGGCCGCGGCCTTCGAAGTGGCTACGTCGCTTATACGTCGTTTATAAGGAATAAGCCGAAATGGGCAGCGAGGCTATTCGTCGACTGTAGTTGCGTCCAAACATAACTTTATTTTATCAAATACAAAATCTAAATAAATAAATAACAGAAGATATGATGAGGTGAAAATATGATCTAAATGGAGTTACAAGAACAAACTCCATTTTGTAATTTTATTGTTGTTGTTTGGGTTTTGTAATTCTGTTGTTAGTTCTGTCCGGTGTACTGTAGAAGTCGTGTTTTGTTTACACTTTGTTTCTATTATATTTCAGGGTTAGTTTCTCATGTTTTGTGTCTCACTATTTGGTTATATAGCTAGTGGACAAGTTATTGTTTATGATTAGATAGTTTTATTTGGTTAAACAATGTTGTTGTAAATTACTTTTTTTACAGAATTTATTTCTGGTTCAATGATGACATTATTCACAGAAAGGTTAACACAATAAACAAGAAAATAACAATTATAACATCGTGGGTTCACCCAGGAAATAGCAAGAAACGAATCGTAAACAAAACACGACTCTACAGTACACTGGGCAGAACCACGGCCGCCTTTAACTCCAGGCCGCGGGGCGGCCTTCGAAGTGGCAACGTCGCAAGTGGTATTGAAACAGCTGTTTTGTTTAGAAGCAGCTAATGATATTTGTGTATTTACTAAAGATTGGTTACTGGACTATGACAATATTGACTCCGCTTAAAATGTACAGACATAGAATTTTAATTCATATAGTTTGGATTTCCAATTCTGTATGTTTTATTTTCAATATTGTAATTAATTTATGTTCATAAATTTAAATTTAAATCAATAAATTGCGAATTAATGAGCCGATGTCACCTGTCTGCCATGTTATCTTATGGGACGTCTGTCACTAATCAACACCACTTGCGACGTTGCCAATTCTACCAGACCGGGGCCTGTAGTTAAAGGTGGCCGTGGCAGAACTAACAGTAAAATTGGCTTCACCCACGGCCCCCTTTAACTCCAGGCCGTGGCCTTCGAAGTGGCAACATCGCAAGTAGGGTTGTAACCACGGCCGCCTTTAACTCTAGGCCGCGGTCTTCGAAGTGGCAACGTCGCAAGTGGTGTTGTAACAGCTGTTTTGTTCAGGAGCAGCTAATGGTATTTGTGTATTTACGAAAGCTTGGTTACTATGGACTATGACAATATTGACTCACTTAAAAAAGTACAGATATAGATTTGAATTAATATTTTTTCGATTTTCAATACTGTATGTTTTATTTTCAATATTTTAATAAATTTATAGTCATAAATTTAAATTTAAATAATTAAAGTGCGGTACTAGTACCGGTAACGAAGTGAAGTGACTCGAGAAATAGTTTTTA